ACTTTGTTCTTTTGTGCATTGACTAGCTCACTTTGGTTGATATGATCATTTATGGAGCATTGAAAGCTGCAAATTATTACGGTGTTCGCTGGTCCAGAGTCCTGCGGCCGCTTCTACTGGTCAACGTCACAGAGGGACGGCAGGTAATGGCTGAATGTTTAAACAATCCACAGTCAGTAATCAAAGCTTCATTACCATGAACATTTCAATTTTTTTCCTTCTTTTTCCTCATTAAATCCTCTCCAGAGGATGATCCATTTCAGTTGTAATGAGCACCAGCTTTAGAGAGAACTAGCTCTGCTGAACTAATATGGGAAGGCTTGAAGCACTAAAAGCAAAGTGAGGATAAGCCCTGTAGTCAAATGTAGGTCATTGGTTACATTTTTCATGGCTCTACTATAGACTGTCTCGGTGTCTTCTTTCTATGATTACATTCCTAGGGTTAAACTCAGAAACTTTGTGTACTGCAGTGAAGATTAGGAGAAATTACTAAGAAAACTAAGAGAAATAACATATATCAGAATACATGTTAAAGAAGAAATCATCCCTGTTAGGAGTTCATTCTCAAAATATGACGTCTTCATTAGCTCAGTGTTTTTTGACACCAAATATAATGTGTTTGTGGGGATTATTAGTGATTTGGCTGTAAGAAATATTCCAGAGACGTCACAAGATGGCTCGATTTAACGAATTTTTAGGTCTTATTTAACAAACTTCTATTATTTATACACTTAACTTATTTATTTTATTTTTTGCCTGTCCTGTCTGGCAGTGCAGCAGTCAGATTTGTTGTCAAACAAAATCTCCAACAAATCTGTTTTCACAAGTGGACCATTACAGCTGCTATGCTTGTCTGCTCGATAGGCATATTGTATTCGATGTACTTCAAACACTATCTCACATCCATGGCCAGTTTAGAATCACCAGTTAACCTAACATAGTAGTGGTGGAACCAAGAACCATCTTGCTGTGTCAACAGTACTAACCATTACATTTTTTGGCATGTTTTTTCCCAGTCTCAGCCCTGGAGGTGATTAGGCTCATACAGAAGTTTTATGCATGTATGTTGTAAATGACAAATTGCCCAGAAATCCAAGTGACTCGTGTTTTGCAGACATTTAGAAAGCTTTGGTCCTAAATTCAGTTTAAGTCATACTTGAAAATGTCTTCACATCTGGTCAGAGTTTGAGCATTTGTTTGCGTTCACGTTATCAAGGCTCTCAAAGTTTGTCTGTCATGAATTTTCTGCCGTTTGATCAATGGATCATGTTTAGTTTTTCTCTGTTAGGAATTTGTGGAGTGTTTGAGGCAGACATAATGTTGTTAAACATGTAAATGTTTGACTTCACGAGCCAATGGTAAAAGAGCTTTTTCATGTAAAACTGTGTCACTGTGTGCTCCTTTGTGTTCAGCTCCGCAGAGCATTCAGGAGCATCCGTAATGCTCTGCCTCAGATTTTCTACGTCTTCCTGCTCTTCATGTTCAGTATCCTCATCTTCGCCCTCATGGCGCTGAAGTTGCTGGGCAAACGGTGAGAAAGCTGTACCTTTTTATTCTGAGGTTGGCTCTTGACATCAGTTTTCAAATTCTCTTTAAACTTGTTTTCAGTTAGAATCATTCAAGTCATTTCATTCCATATATGTGACTTCTTTTTGGCCTGTTTATTATCTTTTAAAAGGCCGTATTTACATTGCATATAACTTGGGAGTCTTTGAGACCCATGCAACTTGAAAACACTTCCTGCAAAAGCTAAAGCGCTCTGCATGAATAACAGGCAGGTAGGTAACAGATGATAGCTTTCAGGCAGTGTAGTGGGAAGCCTGGAATGATGAGAGTAAAAGGGACAAAAGCATACAGACAACAGATTTGACCGACTTGTCATTTTCTGACATTTTGTAACAAGCTGAATACATGTAAAGATCTGAGATCCAATCGAAATATATTACCTGGATTTCTTTCTTTCTCTATGTAATAAAATCTTGCATGATGCAACCAGTGAAATTGTAATTTATAACATGAGCTTGCACAGACAATTGTGCAAACACCCAGCTATGTCATCCATATAAATAAGCAAAGATTTTAAGATTATGCAACATTTACAAACATGTTCTCCTGGTCAGTCAAAGAGCCACAACACCTGGCACAGTTAGACAGTGGTCAACATTTTCCAAAAGGCTCTACTGAGGCCATGTGTTCTGTTTTTTTGCTTTGTTTTGTTTTTAGTGAAAAAGTAGAGGACTTTTTTGAGGTTTAGCAATAGTTTTTAAGTGTATGTATATTTCTCTCTCTCTCTTTAGAGGTTTGACGAACATAAATGGAACACCATATTTCACCAGCTACCTGGAAATCATGTTTGACTTGTACGTCCTCGTCACCACGGCCAATAGCCCTGACGTCATGTAAGTTTGTATTGTAAATCTCAATTTGTGTTCTTTGAGATCAAACAATTTACAATTATTTCAGTCTTCATGAAGCATGCCTTTTTCTAAAGTATGTTAAATCCCTGATTGTGTTTGCATGACGTTACTTTATATAGTATTTACTTTGAGATGATTCAGTTTGTGAAAATACGTGGACGTCAGATTTTGCGTGTGATTGCAAAGTGGAATGTAGTGTTGGTTCATTCCACTTTTGTTTTATGTGCATTTTGTCAATCAACAAAATCAAGTAGACAAAGATGACTATGAAACATGGATGAAAATAGATTCACAGATTATTGATAGATGATTAAATATTTGGAGA